AGGGGGCGGATCGGGGGCGGGGCGGCTACATCCGGGTACTCGGCCCCTCATAGAGGGGCGGCCAGAGTGGGGGGGGCGGGTCCCTCTTCTGCGGCTCGATGTTGGCGGCCGGTCCCCGCTCTCGGGGGCGTCCCTGTCTTGGGGCCTGAGGTAAACAGTCCCCCTTCTTCGGCCGAGGTGGTGCTCCGCCAGGGCTGGGGTCGCCGCCCGTTCTGGGGGGGCTCCTCGCACTGGCCGCACCTGGCTGGTGGTGGGAGGGTCGCGAGGGAGTGACCCCGCGGCTTGTCCTGGGGATGGCGGGGCCCAGCCGAGGGGCCCGGGGCCAGGCGGGGGCCCTGCAGCGCTGAGGCGAGGCCGGGTGAGGGGGCACACCTCCCGCCCGGGGCGGCTCCCACAGAGCTTTCCTCCAGGTGCTGCGGTCGCACGGAATTGAAATTCGAAGCAAAACTCACGGTACGGCTTCAAACTTCGGCTGTGCAAACACATACAAACAGGACGGGACTCATAACTCGTGTGTTTTCCCCTCAGGCTTGGCAATAAACGTCTGAGGTGACTGAACTTGATCAAACATCGAACCAATCAGGAGGGGGAAAATAAGCAGTTCTTAGAAAAGGTTTAAGAAACCTGATGATGCATGCTTGACAATGTGCAATAGAAAAAATAGGCATTTATTCTGCAAGCAGAATAGGAGCGAGCACACAAGTACTAATTACTTTGTTGCATGGATTGTGCAACATTATGCTCACAGCGGTATCTTACTAACAAATGGAGTTTTACTAATACCGAGCTAGTCCTGTCCCAGAAGTACACTGCATCAGGCCCATAATTATGCAACTCTGCTTTTGCTTTGTACTGTTTTAGCTCACAGATTGAGAACTGAGCTGCCACTTGGTGCAATGGTCTCATGCAGCTTTCTTCTTATTTGTGATTCGCTCGTGTCCAGGTGCTCGCTCATCGTGCTCCTGGTTCCCAGCACCAAAGAGTTTTTCAATGTGTTTGTTCAGCAGTGGTACCACAGGCAGAGGGAACACAAACGTGCATTATACAATTGTAGACTAATGCTTTGACGTTTAAAGAATCTCTTGTTCAAATTAGATGGGTTGGAAGGGTTATTATTTGTTTTGCTTTTTAAAACAGGGTATGTATCTCTTACATTCCTCTAGATTACAGTTAGCTAATCAGATTTTACCCAATTTCAGAAACAAACTAAAACCAGCAATGACCCGGAAACTTAGCAATGAACTGTGTAAATATCTCATTAAAACCTGTAATTTGTTCCAGATTTACTTCTGTCACCCTTCAAGTGAAGTAGTTCAGACGTTAAAACTGGAAATGCAAACTACTACAAATAAGTACTCAATGTGTAGCATTTAATTAATCAAATTAGGATGATAAAGCAACTAAGGTGAAATTGAATAAAACTAATTTATAGCTGAAATTTCAGATTTCTAAGACAATGGAAAAAAGCTGTATAATAGCACAGAGATTAAGATCTCAGTCCTGCTTTGCCGTTATGATATTTGGAGAAGGCCCTAGAAATTTCAAAACTAAGGCAGAGAAATTATAAACATACAAATTCAATGGATGTCTTTTGCATCCAAACATCATTTTCTCAAACTGAGATAAATTATACTCTAAATTCAGGAAAAATGAAGACCAAACAGCTAGAAACAGGAGAAAAGGTAACAGAGATATTTGTAACAGGGAACTGGGTGAGACTGATAAAAAGAACTGTGCAGTGGAACGACTATTAGGATACCTTTAGTTCAAGGTTGGTTTTTTTTTGCATGGGAAAATGCTTTTAACATCCTCAGAAATTTGTAGGAATTAATTAAAGGCCTTTAGAAACTGATTCTTATTCAGCAATAATTGTGTTTTGAGACAAACCAAGGGGTTCAACCAAACATAGCTCCATCTCTATTTTTTACATTCAGTCTCTAAGGACAAATCAGGGAAGCTTCATCAAGTCATCACAATGATCATGCCTAGAACATGTATATTATCCTTCAAAATGACTAAGTATTTGGTGCTGCACTCTCCCATAACTTCTTCTAATTTTTTAATGTTTTAGAGTAAAAAGTTGGTCTAAAGAGTTATAGGAAAACTAATAATTAAACAAAAAACCCCAAACCCTCACCTACAAATTCAGTAGTGCACACAAAACTAAAAGTAATGGGGGGAAACAGATTTATAATATAAATTCTAGGAAAGAATTTTGGGTGTGAATGGTACTGAAGATGAGATGGCAAATAATTTGGCCAAAAAAATAATGTTAGGACCTTTTTTTTCTCATTCAAATGCACTGAATAACAGGAATATTTGCTGTATTAGTCTTCTTGGAATGGTTACCATTCACAAAGAATTCTTTATTTTCTGTTTACCCAAAAAGAGAAGACGCCCCTTTGCTACAGAGAGATTATGTTGACAAAGTTCAGTCTGCTTCTTCACCTTTTTTCCTTTAAGTTTATCAGAGACAAAGGTGTGTTAAAAGGTTGACATTGAACACAGTTGATAGTCATTCCTTGAAGATATTTGTGCTTTTTAAAACAACATGGTGATACTTACCAGTGAAAAGGAAGACACATTTAAAGCAGCAAATAACTACTTGAAAATAATTTCTCCCATAAAATCGCTCTGTGGAAATTGTCCAGCTCCACACAATAGCTCCTGTCTTTTGAGCACCACCTTTCCTGTCTTGGGCATGAACAAGCACTTCCTTCTTATTACAGAAAAGTTCAACTAGAGCACCCAGCAATTGCTTCCAAGAATAACAATGAACGCTGTATTCTCCTTCTTACAACAGAAGTAAAGCATAAGAAATAGAGGTACAATGATTTTAATTGCTAGAGTAATGTTGCTCTTTGAACAGATGGACCCAATTTCCCTCTGTTGCTTTCAAACTAGTGTCCCACTGTTAGAAACTGCTAAACATGAAAAACAGACAAATGACATGTCAGTATTTTAATACCCAAATTAATACACAAAAATATTTGTTATTATTTATAACATATACATACTCCATTATGCAGTTGTAAGCTGAATATTTTAGGGAAAGATGGTTTATTTAATGAAACAATGCAAATATTTTTTTTTAGAAATTATTCAGAAAATACAGATGTTTTTCAGTTCCAGTACAGGCTTTATATAAAGAATTTGATTCTTCTAGAACTGTAAACACTGTGTTCAGAGTTGTTAATAAAGACAATTCATTATTTAAAACATACAATAAAAATATACTGTAATTAATTTTAAATTAGCACAAGAATTATCAAATTCACCCATACAATTTTTGTGGATTTACGGCTCAAAGTCACATCAAATACAAGCAGTAGTAGTAAAATCATCAGTGTGCTTGTCTGAGATGTATCTGTAAAAATCTTACATTTGAAACCTAAAAGTCATTTCAGTTTTTTTTCCAAAAGCTTTCCATCGTTTCTTTTCTCAAGCGTATTAGGAAAGAGAGGGTTTATTATATGTTTTCTAGACCAACAAGTCCATATATGGGTTAATAAAGAGAAAAAGCTGTTGTCCAGAAATATTAAGAATGTCTTGCTGTCACTCCTGCCTGTGTATATAGCTCCATTTGAACATGGAATTTCACTGCTGCTAGTGCAATAACCAGTGCATCTGATTGACTAATTATCAATAATAACTTGCTACTGTTGTTTGTAGTGCCTGTGTTCTGCAGGTCTTCTAGTCTATTGCTCTTTTTCTGATACATAAATATTTGGTAACTTATGCCAGAATCACACTAGCTGTCTGGGGAGGAAATTCATGTATACCACTCAGTCAAACCCCGGTCTGTGTAAACTCTAGTGAAGAATTTAAAAAAAATGTTAGTGTACATTTTCAAGTAGTGTTTTTCTCATTGCCCCAATCTTCAGGCATTGTGACATTTATTTGTAACATCCTTCTCAAGAAAGCACTCAAAGCCTGTATTTGCTAACACAAATAACTGAAGTACTTAGTTTAAAACATAGCCAAATTTATGCTGTTTCAGAGACAAGTTTTACTCATAGGTAACCTTGCCAATTAGCACCCACTGAGATGAAGTGTATCATAAAGTTACACCTCTTGACAAACAGAAATGCCATATAAATTAATTATATTAAGCACAATAATTTTTATTTATTTTTTGTTATTAAAGCCATAAGCATGTCTTGAAGCTGTTAAGAGTTTTAAATGCTGCTTTATAACATGTTGAAAGTATACCATAATTGAAGCACTGAAAGTAATATATTCATATACATAAAATCAATTTCTGTACATGAGATTAAAATTTAAATATTTTCAGAAAATTGCTGTAAATCTGCCTTTACCCAGGAGCACACGTGAATCACTTTATTTGGTTTTTTTTTTCTGTTCAGTACATAGGATATGTGGTTTTTGCTCAAGAGGAATGGTTATCAAATGATTAACCTGTAAGAGGTTTAATTACACATTATTAGAATTCACATCCTGAGAAAAGCATTTTGTAATACTTGGTCACTACTCTGGGTATTTTTTTCAGAAAGTGGTTCCATTTTTCTCTAGCATATCTACAGAGCATCCACAGTCCACAGAGGAACAATTATGTTGAAGCTCAAGAGAAGTTCAAATATGACTGCAGATATGACTGCAGAAATTGCTTGTTGTAAGGAAATTTTGGTCATGTCCTAGCTAAAGTGAGAAGGAGGATGTAGAGGAAACTTTCTATTAACAGACATGGTTACCTTATTTTCACTTTCCAAAGAGATAAATCCCTATTTCTTTCAGTAAGTCCTTAAGTAGGGGATATCTTAGCTTTTGCAAATATCTACCATCTGTGCTCTTTCATTTTTGGCAGGTTGTATCCCCAAAGATTTGGACTACCTGCAGAAAAATAAATGCAATTCTTAGCCTTAGCTCCCAAAGCCAAATGTCAGCTGTGCATTTGATGGGGGGTATTTCATTTCTTGGTAGAATTCATTGAGTAAATTTCACAGTTCTGCCATGTAACTTGCAGGATTACAGAATAGTAGTGCAGTTCGTTTACAACTGAGCAAGCTATTTTGAAACTAGGATGAGAACTATGGTTTCTGTTAGTGTCGTATAAATAGTAACTATTATATTCCAATATATCCCTTAAAGGCCTGAGATCAAAATAAGACTGACAAAATATGCCATGCAATGTAAAAATTACTCCCTTCTCAGAAGGGTTTTCTTCAAAGGTGTTTTTGAGTTATTTCAAATAACTGAGGGGGAAGTGAACAAAATGATACAGTGTTACTTAGATTTGAATAAGCTTTTGACACTCCTGTAACAAAGGCTTGTACAAGATGGCAGCACAGTTAAAAAGCCTTGGTTCTCTCACAGATGAACGACTCCTGAAGGAGTTGGAAATGAGGGATGGGAATGTTTGTGTAAAGTCTCCCGTTGTGGCTGCTCTTAGAGCAAGGATGCTGGTCTAGATGATGGACTTTTAGTGTAAACCA